GGGTGGTCTGGAGGATTTGGATATTTCCTGGAATAATACTTTCCACGGTGTGCTGAGTGGTGTGTGAATGAGCACACGTACAGGGCAGTGTGGGATGGGAAGAAAGGACATTTGTGTTGTAGGTAAAGCACTTGGGAGAATCAAGAGCAGGGCAAAGGAAAGAGGTTTCCTCCAGAGTCTGTCTTACCTTGGCCATGAGTGTCATCACAGAGCTGGAAACCTCTTAGTTATTACCACCGCCACCCGACCCCCAACTGCTACCCACATTTTACAGAATACAGAAACCAGAACAGAGCTAGGCATGGATGTCTAGAGTCCCTTTGAGTCTAGATCTCTTCGTACTTTGCCCTTAAGGTGGGTTCTGAGCATACTTGGTGTTAAAAAATAATACTTGAAAATTCAAGGTAAAAAAAATAAATTGAGAATTCTGAGTTAGAACCAAAACAAATAGGTTTCTGGACTATACTAATTTTCAGAGCTTCTCACACACTAATAATACTTTGTAAACCTCCAGGAGAGCGTTACCTACAACGTTGGCCAAGAAAGCTTTTTTTTCCATAAAGCACCTCATGGGCCCAGGGTTCTTCAGAAGACCCTGGGGAAGTACTAGACTGCTTCATCTTGCCACTTATGACACCTCGTATTTTTCAGAAAGGTGAATTTCATTGCCTCCCTGATGCCTGTTAGTCCATTGTGTGGCTAAGCCAAATTTACATTTCTGGTCCCTGATCATTAGACATTGACATGGCTTCCAATTTTTCAGCATTACTGATGATTCTGGAGTGAATTTTGGTTACTTTGTGACCATCTCTGATCATTCCCTTCAGAAGTGCAATTGTTGAATCAGTGTATGAACGTTTTCAAGACTCTTGATGTTCATTGTCCACTTGTTTTCCAGAAAGATTATGCCCACTTTATCCTTCTCCCAATTACTGAAAGTGGGGGCAAGGTTAGCATGCATCTGTAAAAGTTAAGTCTGAGAAGCTTGAAGAAGACCGTTCCCTTCCCTTCTGTAGACATGTGACAATTAAAAAACACACAGTCACACACGCTAAGGACATACACACCCATGTCTTTTGAGAGTCAGATTGGCTTTTCATAATTCCCCATGCTTCTTCTAAATAACTAAAATGTCACTTGAGAGTTATCTGAGCACTTTAATTTGGCATTCTAGGTACTTTGTTGGATAATTAGGAAAGAAGGGATTTTGAATTGGCTTCTGTCATGCTCATTTTCAAAGAACGTTTCAAGGTGAGATTTAAAAATTATATCAACCTCCTGTGATTGGGAAACTGTTTCTGCAAGAACCTTTTATGTGAGTGTTTTTATCAGTCTTAATTCAGACTCTTCAGAAATGAGTTACGTCATGTTGAGTATTGAAGCCAATTGTGGTGTTTTTGTTTTTATATTTGTATGGGGAAGAGTATACACATTGTAGGCTAGAAGTGATTTATAGGTTTGTCCTCCACAAATATTATCCGTTGGTCAATGCATTATTGGGCTTTGGAACTGAGACTTGAACTTTTAACTCATTAAAACCCCCAAGTCCCCGGCAATAAAGTCATTTAAGTGGCTTCACCAACAGATTTATTTCAAAATGATTCCATTTGGAGGAAGGAAAGAACAAGTAATGCATTATATACAAAGATCTATTCAATAATTCATGAGACCTACACACCAGTGCACCATTTTAGATTCAGTTCATAGTATTGTAGCTGAAAATGAACTCTGTCTTAAGAAGATATCCACAGTTTGCTCCTCTTTGTGCTTGAGTCCACAAGTATCTTGATTTTTGAGATACAAATTTTGTACCTACATGGTGTATTTAAGTGGACCTTTCTTATTATGGGAGATATATTGACAAAATGTGCATTCTATATAATTGGGCTAAAAGGACACTTTACATGCATTCCTTGCCCTTAGCAAAGCAGGAATGCTTCAGAAATACATTGCTTTTTCCTCCCTTTGGGCAGGAATCCTGATTTGATTTTCTACACGTGGAGTGGATTGCCAAAGGACAGATTAAAAATAGATTTAGTGATGCCTAACAATTACAACACACAGTGTTGGGCACTGAATATGAGAGGCACGCGTGGTAAATGGCCCACTGTCCTCCACGGGCTCCTGGCTCCTGGCCAGGGCCCATCAGCTGGGAACTCCTGGGTTCATCCTGAGCTCCATCCAACCCGTTCCCTTTCCTAAAAACCACAGAGGCCCCAGAGCTACTTCTGTGGAGGAGGCTTGCACAAAGGCCGGGGAGTTGAGAAAGAACCTGCTTCCTTCCACACTCTGAAGAGTGCTGCCCTAGCCTTCTATAGTGCCTTAACAGGGAACCCTCAGGAACCGATGTGCTTCGAATCTCCAAATAGGATCATTTCAGTTGGGCAAGTCTTTATTCAGTGATAAGTATTATGTGGGAAACAAACATGAATGAGCAAGATGGTTTTGTTGTTTGCTGGAAAAGCGTCAGGAGCTGTCCATCCCTCCTTCCCTCCTGCGCCTTATCCTACTCTCCAATAAAAATGGTTGCTTTTTCTTTTCAACTTAAAAACCTATTTAACAAAATCATTGTAAACATTTATGCTATACAGACTCTTGTGAGAAAAATGTGCAAATCACTAGAAACCCCACAGCTAACATTTTGAGAAACATTGTTATAGCTGTCAACATAGACACACCCCCTCCCATTTTATTCTAAAGCATAGTATGCTTCATAGGCTGTTTGGAGATTGCCCCCCCCCCCCATAACAGTATGTAACCTTTTCCTACAAATAAAAACCCTTACCATCATTTTAACGGTAGCAGAATATTCTGTTACGTACAGATACCACTAATGGATTCTGTGTCATGAACCATTAGGTTGTTTTCAAATATTGGCTCCAGTGTATAACATAGGGATGAGTATCATTGTGTGTGTGATGAACATGCCAGTATACATGCCTATGAGTGGAATTGGTGGGTCAAACAATATACACATTTCAACTTTTGGTATATGTTATCAACAGTGGCTTTTAAAGAGAGCATCTCTCTGTTTGTTAAATAAAAATTATATATTTAAGGTGTACAATATGATGGTTTGATGTACATATACATAGTGAAATTGTTACTACAGTCAGAGTAAGTAAGTATCTTCTCACATAGTTACCTTTTCCCTTTTTTAAATGATGATAGCACCTGAAATTTTCTCTCTTGGCAAATTTCCAGATTCAATACAATATGATTAGTTGTAGCCATCAGGCTGTGCATTCTATCTCTACAACTTCTTCATCCCATGTAACTGCAGCTTTGTAACCTTTCACCAACATCTCCCCATTCCCTCCCCTCCCTGTTCCTGGTAATCAACACCCTTCTACTGTCTGCTTCTATATATTTGACTTTTTTAGATCCGGTGTATAAGTGAGATCAAGGAGTTTTTTTCTTTCTGCATCTTTCGGCTTATTTCATTTGGCATAATATCTTTTAGATTCAATCATGTTGTTGGCAAATGGCAGGATTTCCTTTCTTAAGCCTGGGTAATATTCCATTGTGTATATACATACACCACATTTGCTTTCTTTAATCATTTGTCAGTAGACACTTAGGTTGTTTCCATGTCTTGTCCATTGTAAACAATGTTTCAGTGAACATGGGAGTGCAGATCTCTTCAAGGTATTGAAGAGATTTCCTTTACGTATGTACCCAAAAGGAGAATTGCTGGATCATATAGTCGTCTTTTTTTGGTGGGCCCTGCACATTGTTTTCTACAGTGGCTGCACCAGTTTACATTCCCAGCAGTGCCTCAGCAGGGTTCCCTTTTCCCTTTTCTCTGCATCCTCACTAACACTTGTTATCTTTTTTTTTAAGAGAGAGAGTGTGTGCACACATGAGTAGGGGAGGAACAGAGGAAAAGAGAGAGAATGCTAAGCAAGCTCTACACTCAGCATGGAGCCCAACGCAGGGCTTAATCCCACGACCCTGAGATCATGACCTCAGCCTAAACCAGTATGGACACTCAAACTATTGAGCCACTCAAGCACCCCCCCCACCCGCCTTTTTTCTTTTATAACAGCCATTGTAACAGGTGTGATATCTCATTGTGATTTCGATTTGCATTTCCCTGATGACTAGTGATATTGAGTGTCTTTTTATAAAATCTTAAAATATATTCCCATGTAGCATATGAGAGTGGCCCCCTCCCCGGACCAAATCCACACCAACTATGGATATAATACATCTTTTCAGTGTTTAATAAGTTAATACATGCCTCTTCATTGCTTTTATTTTCATTTCTTTTACTATAACTGAGTGTTTTAAACTAATTACTGGCAATTTATATCTCTTGCCCATTTTTTGATTGAGCTTTTTTTTTTTTTTTACTGGCTTTAAAAACCTTTCCATGATATATTCTTCAAATGTATTCAAAGATCTATCCTTCAAAATATGTATAGATTCTGTACATATCCTCAGCATAATTATCCATCCTGTTTAGGGATAAAGGAGTCTAGTGACCAATGGGACCTGATTTGCTCACACTTTGGAATGGAGCTCATCTGTGTCACTTCATTTGAGGGATGGCTGAGAGCAGGTTGGGGAAGCATCCTTGCTCAGTGTTCCTCATTAAAGACTCAGTGAGGGTTTTGTGATCTGTGCCAGTCTCTTCTTGTCTTCCCCTTGGCAAGCATCTTTTTCTTACCACTCTATCATTCTAATGAGATTGCCCCCAGGTCAGTCATATCAGATAAGTGATGAGCAGTGGAGAAAAGAAAATTCATAGAAGAGTGACATTTAAAGTAAAATGTATTTTTGGCCTTTGCCCAAAAGTGAATTTCATGGTCTATAAGCCACAAGCACATGTGTAGTCGAGGAGGAGAATTTGTTGCCTAATATCAACCCTGGGAAAATTCTAAGGGGAATTCAGGGATCTTAATAGGGATAATGTAGAATGAAAATTTTGTGTTTTAATTTGGAGTTGCATGAAATGTGTTGACTTTGGTCTAAAACTCTTCCTTGTTCTTAAACAGTTTCATTCACTGGCTCCCATGTACTATCGTGGATCCGCTGCAGCTGTCATAGTCTATGATATTACCAAACAGGTAAGAATGTCCCCTTTAAAACGACCCCATTTGTGTTGATCCTCTGTCTTAAAAAGACCAAAGCAGAGACTTGACTGCTTTTCGCACCGGGAGCCTGGAATGAGATTTTATAATACGGTAGCCAGGGATAATTGATACCATCTATTGGGTTTATTCACCTGTATGTAGTGAAGCATTTCCAATTTTTCTGCCAAACTAAGTAAACAACAATGATCATTCATTTTTCAAATTAGCTGTCTGCTCATAGAAGCAAAGTCATGTCTGCCAAGTACCACTCTCCAGAATGTCAACTTTTGAAGAAGAGGAAAATTATTTGTTTAAGTTCCGCATGTTTTGTGATTATGGAATACTTATTTTCTGTTAGGGTTTCAATCACACTACTTAAAATGTCAAGGATAATGTTTATGTATGTGTAGTATATTTACATATATATAGTATACCATATTTTTAGTCATCACATTGAAGATCTAGGATATCCATCAGGTAACTGCAGTGGTTTGCTGACTTTCTTTTTCCACTCCTGGAGTGCTGACTCAGCTCACAGTACTACTGATTTAATGATCCATCACTGTTACCATCCATGAGTTCCTGACCACTTCTACCTAGATGTGGTGTTTACCTTGGCTGGTTTGCTGGAGGACAGTTGTGAGTGAAGGACAGAAAGGAAATCAGGATTCTCAGTCTCTCTCTTTGTCTCTCTCTCTCTCTTTTTCATGTGTGTGTGTGTGTGTGTGTGTGTGTGTATTCTTTTTCTTTCCTGAAATAAGCACGAACATGTCTAGTCCTATGGCTTAGTCCTTTTCATGCTGAGTCAAGGCTATAATTTTCAATTGATGTTATTTGTAGAAGAAAATTACTAGTATGACTTTTTTAACTTCATCAAATTTCAATTTTAGAAAAGGAAACTTCCACAGTTTATTTAAGTGTAACGTAGCTAATAAGTTTTGTGCCAGGACAGGGGTGGGATGTTAATGTACATGAATTTCCTGAAAGTATTTTCCTCTGTTAAATTGGGCTGGGTTTATATTTCTACTTGGTTGAAATACTGTGTTGATGGGTCTTTCCAATGATTGATTTACACTTTGGGTTTAGGATTCATTTCATACCCTGAAGAAATGGGTGAAAGAACTGAAGGAGCATGGTCCAGAAAACATTGTAATGGCTATTGCTGGAAACAAGTGTGATCTCTCAGACATTAGGTAAGATGCATTAACAATTTTTCTGGTAAATCCTCCGCCTCTGAATGTCTACATGTAAAAAGCTGTCATACCTGTGTTGTTAAGGCTATTCTCAGTAAAATAATTTAATTCGTGGTCATTCACCTGTGATGGTCTATGTAGTATTTATTCAACCAGAGTAGAATTAAGGGAAAATAATAGGGAAGTGCAAATTGGATGGATTACCTAGGAATGGATATTAAAGCTGAATCTCTGCAAAGCACAGTTACATCTCTGACTTTAGAGGCCTTTGGGCTCAATTTTATTATTTTTGTTGTTACCTTTTCTGTTATTTATTGTCATTATTACTACTATTGCCATCTTAGCAACATTTTCTTTTTTGTGAGTGTTTGTTTATTTTTGAGAGAGAGAGAGAGAGAGAGAGAGAGAGAGAGACAGAGCATGAGCGGGAGAGGGGCAGCGAGAGAGAGACACAGAATCTGAAGCAGGCTCCAGGCTCTGAGCTGTCAGCACAGAGCCTTACACAGGGCTCAAACTCATGAAACGTGAGATCACGACCTGAGTTGAAGTCTGACACTTAACTGACTGAGCCACCCAGGTGCCCTTACATGGTACAGAGAATTAGTATTCTTAACATTTCCAATAGCATCCCCGTTTGTTTTAGTTCTAACTTTAACTTAAGGGTGTAGTTGGGTCTATATAATCTTGTTTGTCCTAGGATCTGAAGATGATGTATCATATATAAATACTTTAGTTTCCCTCAGAGACACTGAATTGTTGACCTTTTTTTACCTGAAATGAAATTTGCAGGGACCCAGTCTGTAGGACTAGAGATTTGATGATAGCCCTATGGAGCCTGATAAGCTAGCTATTTTTACTAGATAAAAATGCTATAAAAAGGAATAGTGATGGGGCGCCTGGGTGGCTCAGTCGGTTAAGCGTCTGACTTCGGCTTATGTCATGATCTCATGGTTCATGGGTTTGAGCCGTGCATTGGGCTCTGTGCTGATAGCGTGGAGCCTGGAGCCTGCTTCAGATTCTGTGTCTCCATCTCTCTCTCTGCCCCTCCCCTGCTCACTCTCTGTATCTCAAAAAAATGAATACATGTTAAAAATATTTTTTTTTAAATTAAAAAGGAATAGTGAGGGGCGCCTGGGTGGCTCAGTCAATTAAGCATCCTACTCCTGACGTCAGCTTAAGTCTTGATCTCGTGGTCATGAGTTCAAGCCCCACATTGAGCTCCACATTGGGCGTGAAGCCTACTTTAAAAGAAAAAAAGGAATAACCAATTTGTGACATCTCTATTCCCCTGGTTAATTGAACGCAGCAGTTCAGATGTTGATCTTCATAAAGACAACACCATCATGCCTCAGGTTTTCCTAATCCAAGTGCAATTAACCCAATGTTTGATAAAGAATGGAAATAGATCTAGTAAAAGCTCTTAACATGGCCATTGATAAATTGTTCTGTTTCTTTGGGGTTTCAGACGCTTTGTATCACATTGCATCAGGTTGGTTTATAATAACAGCCATAAACACCACTTAATCATTTGTTTTTCTGAGGAATGGACAAATGTCTAAACTGCCCAGACTTAGTTCAGATCTCTCCATTCTTTACTGTGACCCTAAAACAGCTTGTTTGTCTAGAATTGCAACAGAATCGCTAACTTTTGTCATCAGAAGGGGGGTGGGTGGGTGGGTAGAAACCATATTTGCTAGGGAAGGTGCTGTCATCTGTCACCACTGAATTACAGCAAAAGTGACCTGTAATGGTACCAAGCTTTGTATATTGTGGCAGAACTGATGGACTGGAAGTTAAGCAGACAGTTATTTCAAGTTGACTGGAATTCATTAGGATTCCCGGTGACATGGAACTGAGTCCCACCTGAAATTATTTTCCGAAAAAGGGGAACTTATTGGAAGGTGCTGGTATCCACATGGTAAAAAAGCAAGGCTGCCTTTGGCTTTGGCATTTGATATCCTCTGTATTTAGTCTCTGGCACTCTCTCTGTTTCTAGTTTAACTTAACATGGAAGATCTCCCCATATCATGACAAGGCGTTTGTGGCCAAGAGGGGATTTGGGAGGTACAAGATGATTTTTCCCACCATAACCACGAGAGTAGGGAGGTAGGTGGTCTTGAAGAGGGGCAGCTCCTAGAAAAGTACAGCCTGGCCAGAAAAATAAATCTGTGACATGTTGGCTTGGCTACTTAGACCTGAAGACATACCTTACATTCCTTTTGAAAGGAATTTACCTTTTTAAAATGCACTGATACAGTATTCTCCTTAGCAGGCATTCTCTTTGTATTCAGCCTATATATACATATATATATATGATTTTCAAAATGTCCCACCCAACAGAATCCATCCATCTCACTTTCAACTGTGAATTCACTAATAGCTCTTCCATCCCTAGTGGGAGACCGTCCAGAGACTACATCCAGTGGTGACATCATAGGGCTGCTGTCCTACTAGTTCCGGTTTCTGGATAGTTTGGCCCTTTCTCCTCCAGTTTGGCCTCAGTGAAGTCAGAAAGTGACTTTCAAGATCCTGCAGTTGTGATTTAAAGTGTGGAGTATATTATACCTTTTTTACACGCAAAGTTATCTTAAATGCTACTTGTTACTGGAATCGTGCAGCAAGGACATGACTCCCCTTGCAATTCTCTTTCAAACTTTCAATGAGAAAAACTCATTGGATTAAGCCACAGAGGAAAACTAGATTGATGCTAATAAATTTTTAATTTTTAAATATTTATTAATATATAATTTAAAAGTTTAATTTATTTATAAGTATATTTCCTTGGACTAATTTAGAAACCATAAAATCCACCTGTTTCTTAGTGTACAGGTCAATAAATTTTTGTATAATTATAGGGTTGTACAGTCATCATCACATCTAATTTTAGAACATTTCCATCACCATACAAAGAACATGCCAATTTACAGTCACTCCCAAGATCCAGCTCTTTCCAGCCCCTGGCAACCACTAATGTACTTTCTTGTCTTTATAAATTTGCTTTTTCTGGACATTTTGTATTATAAATTGAATCATGCATGTATGTGGTCTTTTGTGACTGGCTCCCTTCACTTTGCATAATGGTTTTGAAATTCATCCGTGTTGTACCATGCACTAGCACTTCATTCATTTTTATGGCTGAATAATATTTCATTGTGTGGGTGTACATATTTTACTTTTTCATCCACTAGTTGAATGAAACTTGAAATTTAGGTTGTTTTCACTTTTTGGCTACTTCATTTATTTATTTATTTACTTTATTTTGAGATAGAGAGTGAGAGAGCAGGCACAAGCAGGGGAGAGGCAGAGAGACAGGGAGAATCCCAAGCAGGCTCCACACTATCAGCGCAGAACCGGACCCAGAGGGCTCGATCCCACAAACCGTGAGATTATGACCCTAGTGGAAATCAAGAGTAGGTTGCTCAAGTAACTGAGCCACCCAGGCGCTCCATTTGCTACTTTAAAAAGTGCTGCTGGAAACATCATGGAGAGATTCTGTGTGGACATATGTTTTCATTTCTCTTGGGTATACTTGGAGGAGTGATATTTCTGGGTCATATGGAAACTTTGTGTTTAACAATTTGAAGAACTGCCAAACGGTTTTCTACAGTGGCTGCACCGTTTTACATGCCTACGGACAATGTATGAGGTTTCCATTTCTCCACATTCTCAGCCAGCACTGTTTTTACCTATCCTTTGCGTTATTGCCATCCTAGTGAGTGTGAAGTTGTGACAATGGGGTTTGTATTTTCCTACACACTAATGATGTTAAACATCTTCTCATATGCTTATTGACCATTTATATATCCTCTTTGGAGACATCTCTCTTCAAATCCTCTGCCCAATTTTTAATTGAGTTTTTTATTTTGATATTGAATTATGTGAGTTCTTTATGTATTCTGAATACAAGTCCCTTATCAGATACATGATTTGCAAATATATTTTTCCTTTTTGTGAGTTATCTTTACAATCTTTATTGTGTCTCTTGAGGTACAAAATTTTAATATCCAATGTATGATTTTTTCCCTTTTATCTCTTATGCTCAAGTGATTGATTAATTAAGATCACAAAGATTTACTCCTATGCTTTCTTCTTTTTTTTCTTATGCTTTCTTTTAAGAATTTTATAATTTTAGAGCTTGTATTTATACCTATTATCTATTTTGAGTTGATTATTGTGTGTGTTATGGGGTGGAGGTCCAACTTAATCTTTGGGTGGATACCTAATTCCCAGCACTGTTTGTTAAAAAGACAAGTTTTTTCCCATTGAGTTATTTTTGGCACTTTTGTCAAAAATTAGATGATGATAATGCAAAATCTTATTTTGGGCTCTTGATTCAATTCAGTTGATCTATACCTTATGCTAATGCTGTGTGATTTTGATTGCTGTCGTTTTGTAAGTTTGAAATATTTATAAATCCTCCAGTTTAGTTTTTCTCCTTTCAAGATGGTTTGACTTTTGTGACTATTCTAGATCTTTCCCATTTCCATGTGAAAATGATTCTTTTCTCAATTTCTGTGAAAAAGCAACTGGGATTTTAATAGAGAACATGTTGAATCTTTAGAACCATGTGGGGATTATTGGCATCTTAATAATATTAAGTTTCCTGATCTGTGAATATGAGATACCTTTCCATTTTATTTAAGGTCTTCTTTAATCTCTTTTACCTATATCTCATAGTTGCCAGTGTACAAGTTTTGCATTTCCTGTCTTATACTTGTTCCTAAGTGTTTCATTGTTCTTGATGCTATTGTGAATAGGATTGTTTTGTTAATTTTGTTTATGGTATGTTCATTGTTTTGTATACAAGATTATGTTGTCTGTGAATACAGTTTACTTATTCTTTTCCAATCTAGATGCCTTTTATTTCTTTTTCTTGTCAATTATCCTGTCTAGACCCTCAATACAATTTGAATAGAAATGGTGAGAGTGGACATTATTGTCTTCTTCCTGATCTTAGGGGCAAAGCATTTAGTTGTTCTTATTAAGTATGATGTTGGTGG